TTTACCTTCTATAATTGAAACTTTGTTGCCTTCAGTTTTGCTAAGAGCCGGCCGTGGCAGGCGGGAAGCTTGGCTTCTGCCATCACTGGAGCAACCAAGCCTCCTGCTCGCTCCAGCTCCGTGGCTGCTGGCCGCCATCTTGGTTGGGTTAATTTACATATAGTTGCTCTGAATTGCTGGTGGGCGTGGCTTAAGGCATAGCAAAGGTACAGTCAATTTGCATGTTTGTCTTTTATTAGATTAGATTGCTACACAGTAGAGGACATCACTACATACTAGAGGTAGACAAACTTTTCCCCTACCAGGTAGTAAATATTTTAGCTTTGTGGTCCATGAGATCTCTGATACAACTTTATTCTGCTCTTTTACTCTGAAAGAAACCATGGCTAACATATAAATGAGTAACATGTTGTATTTCAATGATGCTCTTTTAGAAAAATAAGCAGTGGGAAGGACTTGGCCTGCAGGACATAGTTTGCCAAATCTAGTAAGAGAATATAAAAAGTTTAAGGGATTTGCGGCTGCTACGACTTAAACTTAACTTTTGGAAAAATACATTCTACTTCTTTACAAGTTAGAATACTCTTTCAGATTCTTTAAAAGAAGACTAGACTGGCCCTGACCGGTTTGGCTCAGTGGATAGAGCGTCGGCCTGTGGACTGAAAGGTCCCAGGTTCGATTCCAGTCGAGGGCATGTACCTTGGTTGTGGGCACATCCCCAGTGGGAGGTGTGCAGGAGGCAGCTGATTGATGTTTCTCTCTCATCGATGTTTCTAACTCTCTGTCCCTCTCCCTTCCTCTCTGTAAAAAGTCAATAAAATATATATTAAAAAAAGAAGAAGAAGAAGAAGACTAGACTGGCACGATGGTTTTTATCTTTATCAATTTAACAATGATATCTTCACATCCCAAACACAATGTATGTTAATAAATACAACTCTAGGGTAAAGAGTCATTCAAAATTTTAAGTTTATCAATATTATTTTTGTCTGTATTGCTGCAACTTTTCCAAAGATAAGAAAGGAAGCTCCAATCTCCAGTTCCTGAACAAGATAAAAATGACTCATTACTATATACTCTGATATAAATATGAAAATAAAATCTGTGGTATAGAAAGTAACTTGTTATAAGACATTTCATGATATTATATGCTTAAAGGCGAGGAAAGAAATGGTATTCATATACAAAGTGAATCCTTTATAATTGCTTGGGAAAAGGCTCATGATAAAAAACAAAACAAAACACAAAAAACCAAAACACTTAACCTATAGTGATGTAAGATATATTAGATTAAAGGCATTAAGAAATTATTTGTGTTTTTATTGAATAAACATTTTGTGAGCTTTAATGAAAACATTACTATATTCAACTATTGCATCTCTTAAGGTAGATGTAATTTATATTTTTTAAAGATAGTTATGTTCCCTAGGTTTCAGCCCCTGGATGGCAGATTAATTCTTTGTATGAGTTCTTCCAGTTGAATTACCGCAACTTGCTTTCCTCTCTTCCCGATAGTGTCCCAGGATGTCACACATGTTTTCTTGATAGAGAATCAATACTTGCACTTCCATTGCTTTACACTTTGCTCTTGAATGCTGGTCGCTGTCAATTTGGTTTGTGTGGCTGTATGCTCACTGTATTCTCACCACTGACCTTAGTCATTATCCTCTCTCTACTTTAGTAATCCTGTTTGCAGAGGAAGGTGTATGCTGGAATTTCCCCCTCCAGATCTATTCTTCATCTTCCTGGACCCCGGGAGTTTGATCTCTGTACATGACAGTACCAGGACTTCCTTGCTGGCTGCCTTCCAGTTAGGTTTAAACAGTGGGAGGAAAACAAAACAAAACAAAAAACCCAGCAGGAGTTTGGCTATAAGACAGGTCAGAAGGCTTTTCGTCTGCCCTGTTTTTCTCAGCAATGTATTGCTTGCAGTAGTCACCCTATAGGGCCACACCTCACCTGGCTGGTCACTCCCACACAGGTACAGTTATCACTGGGCTCCAGCTGCACTGTTCCCTCACTCTGCTCCTTAAATCCTAACAGCCACAAAGGCTGCTGGTCTTTTATTCGCTTTATGCTGCCCACCACACACTTACGTCTTCTCATTCTTAACATTTCATTGGAAATATCTGTAAATTCTCTTTCTTTTTGGACTATTGTAAGAGGTTTCCAATTTTCTTTCTTCAAGTTGTTTCTACAATGTTTTAAATATCCCAACTCCACAAATCCACTCCAGGATATTAGGATAGGAATTTCTAGGATAAGCACTTATCTGTAAGTCAACACTAGGGATTAATGATAAAGACAGAGACTTAAATATAGATAAAGGATATGTGATATTGTGATTTATAATAAATACATATTTGGTTTTCATCCCCTTTTCTTTCATAGGGCTCCTAAGACACTTGGAATTTTTAAAGTGATGAGAACGGTCTTTTGTTAATGAGGTGACTTTGGGACCCTCCACCTGAGGTGGGCCTGCTGGCCAGGAGAACCAACCCTGTGATTAGAGGGTTGAAGCTTTTAGTGCCACCTCCCGACCTTCTGGAAGGAGTGGGGCCTACAGATTAGGTTCAACCACCAATAACCAACGATTTAATCAATCCTGCTTATCTAATAAAGACTCTAGAGAAAAAATTCAAAATGGCAGGATTCAGAGAGCTTCCTGGTTGGTAAACATAGAGATTTGGCTAGAATGGCTCACTGAGCGAGAGCATAGAAGCTCCAGGCCCTTTCCTCTTACCTTGCCCCTTATATCTCTTCCATCTGGCTCTTTACAATATCTGGCTGTCTCCAAGTTGGATCTTCCTATAATAAATAGGTAATCTAATTTCCTGAGTTCTCTGAGTTTCTCTACCAAATTGAACCCAAAGAGGGGGTCATGGGAACCTGATTTATAGCTGATTAGTCAAAAGTAGTACAGGTAACACCAGGTTTTGCTATTGGCATCTATAGTGGCCGTGGGGACAGTCTTGAAGGACTGAAACTCTAACCTATTGAATCTGATGCTATTTCCAGGTAGATAGACATCAGAAGTGAGTTAAATTCTTTGATACCCTGCTGGTGTTTGAGAATTGCTTGTTATTGTGAGAGTAACTTCCCCATCCCAACCCCACCACACACATTCATTCTCTCTCTCTCTCTCTCTCTCTCTCTCTCTCTCTCTCTCTCCAGGAACCCAAAAGAGGACTTTATGCCATAACCAGTTTGGCTCAGTGGATAGAGCG